AGGATTGCTTTGAATTTCTGATCCTCCCGCCTCTGTTTCCTGAGTGCAGGGATTACAGGCATGAGCCACCAAATCTAATTCTTAGGTGCTAGGAGGGCAAACATTCAACCAAGACAAGTCGCAAGCCCTTTTCTGCCTTTTTTTTTTAAAATAGTGTTTGTGGATGCAGCGGACAGAATTCTGTGTCCACGTTACCTCTGAAGGTGATGAAGGAGCCTTTGTTCCTGCTCATTGGTCTCTGATTACAGGGACAAGTTTATATAGGAAGAGGAGACTATGGGTTTCCAGCTGGGGGCACAAGAGATGGGCTGTGGAGAAGCTGCGCAGATCACAGCGCAGCACAGAGTGGCCTGGCGGCTGGAGGTGTTGTACCCCAGTCAGGGGGTGGCTGGAAAAGAAACTGTCACTGTGCCCCGAGACCCATAGAGCGGACTGCACTCTTCCCAGACGGAGCCTGCTCTGGCGTGTAGCCAGGCACTGCAGTGTGTGGGCAGGCTGAAGGGGACCTCCACCACTGTGTATCGCATCTGCATTCCAGTCAGCAGGAAGAAGGAAAAGCCAGGACACCTCTCCTTCCTTTTGTAAGGACTCTTCTTGGAAGAAGCTATGCATGCAGCCATTGGTTACTTCTCAGAACCTGGTCACATGACTGTGCGGAGCTGCAAATGGGGATGGGACAGGAGCTCCATTTGAGATGACCCTGTACCTAACAGTTCTAGAGAGAACAGTTGGTGTTTGGAGACTGCTAGCGGGCAGGTGCCTAAGCCAGGAGAATGGCTAAACCATAGTGAGCAAGTGGTGGGGGATGGGGCTGGGCCGTGAGGCTAGGCTAGGTCTGGTGGGGCTTTGTAAGCCTTGGGGTGGTTTGGGGTTTCACCTGGAGAGTGAGATTTAGGGGCTTCTTTAAAAAGGACACCAGCACATCAATAGTCTTGAAATCTTTATTTTCTTTCCGTCCTCTCTCTGGGTTTTGGTTTAGCCCTTGGTGCATGCTGTTCTCTGCACACTCACCCAGCTCTTTCTCTCTGGTGAATTCCTGGAGAAAAGTCTCCGGGTCAGAGGAAATGGCTTTTGCCCTCTCACCAGTCTGTGGTTTCTGGAGGTGGTCCCGGCCTTACAGCTTTTTATAAGCATCCCCTCCCTCTCAATGTTTTAAAAAATGAAGCATTTCAACATAAAAAGATGTTGAAACTGTGTTTGCTGTAGATCCAGATTCCACAACGGGCATTCTGTAATAGTTGCTTTATCAGCTTTATGCGTGCCTGTCCATCAGGACATCTTCATTTTGGACGCGTTTCAGAGTAAGTTACAAACCACCCACGACTATGATGGGTTTGTTTGTTTGTTTTTGTTTGCTTTATTCCCTCAGACTGTGTGGGCACAGCCCAGTCTTGCTCCTCAGACTGCTGTCGGCCAGAGGCAGGTCCTCCTCTGAGGCCTCAGGTGACCTAGAGCAGACACACACATGTGGGGAGGCATCTTTTTTACCTGGGATGGGGAGGGTACCACCTCCCCGTGCTGTGCAGCATCTAGCATTGCCAGCGGAGTGGGGGCTGGCTAAACAGGGATGATTTCATTGTTGTATTTCCTATATCTGTCTGACAGTAGATTGAGCTGCTGGAGGCATTTTATATAATCTTTAAGATTTGTTAGCTCTATTTTTGTGTGTACATGGATATGTGTGTGGAGGCAAGAGGCCAATGCCAGGCCTCTTCTTCGTCGCTCTCCACTTTATGTTTTGAGGCCGAGTCTCTCACTGACCCCAGCTCTTTAGCTGGGTTGGTTGGCCAGTGAGCTCTGGAGTAGCTATGGTTACTTTCTACCACACGCGGCTTTTATGCGGGCGCTGGGGATCCGGGTCCAGTCTCCCTCTCACGGCAGGCACTTTCCCAGCCAAGCCGTCTCCCCAGCTTCTTATGGTTCGTGGTGGTGGCAGATAATCACTCATATTCACACATTATTTGTACTCTTCGTTTGGTTTTAATGTATGCCTAGTCATAGGCTGTGGGCTTCCTTCTTGTTTTTGTTTTCCAAACGTGTGGAGAAGAACATATAGTGAGCAACCACAAACTCCAGAGTGTCGAGAACACACCGTACCCTACCAGTTGGTTTTCTGCCTCTGTAACTGAATTCCTAGGGCATGACTGAGGGGAAGAAAGGTTCACGTTTGATGCGCCACTTCAGGGGGAGGGCTTGGAAGTCTGTGCCCCCACTTCCTGGGCCTCCAGTGACTGCCTTGCCCTATGTCCATCTCCTGGAAATGTGGTCCCTACTCCATAGCCCAGGAAGAGACAGCCACCATGCCAGGACCTGGGCCTCAAGAGTGCATTTAAGATCCAGAACACAGCACCGGGTGTATTTAGACAAGGACTACAGAGGGACTTAGAAAGGGCAGTTGTCCTGCTCTGTGATTTCCCCAGACTGTGTGCGTCTTCCATTTGACCTTGGGCTGGAACTGAACCCCAAGCAAGAGCTGTCGGCTCTTCCTGGGAGAATCTGAGGAGTGATGATGGCCTTGCAGAGGAAAGGCACGTGGAGCAGATTGCAGGCCCCTTCGTAGATGGGTTTTGGGTCAAAGACGGACCATGTTTTTATTGAGTTCAGTTTGCAATCTTTGTAAGTTCATGGCAGGAGGCTCTGAAACCAACTTGGTTCCCAAGCACAGTGGTTATTGTATCATCTACGTGCCCAGAATCGGGGAGCAGACTTTCTCTGAGGCTCCCCCACAGATTCACCCCCCACCATTGCTGTGGCAGCCTCTTCCTTCACCACCTCCTGCCTTCTCTGAAGCAGCTGGGCACCGTCCAGCAACGGAGCGGCAGCAATTGTTTGAACAGGCACATGCTTCCATTTCAGACCAGATTGCTATTATCAACCTACATAGTTTCTGTGAGTCCCGAAATAGACGTGGCCCAGTAGGTGGGGTGCCTGTTTATGACATAGCATCGGGGTACAGCAGTGGCTAGTCCAGAATTTCAAGTGGTGTTTGTTTGAGACTGAGTCTGCAGTTCTAAAGAATGTGTTTGTTACTTAGAAAGCAGGAGGAATTCAGCGGAATGCACCCAGGACTTTGATCTGGGTCCCCTTAGCAAAGGTTGAAGCTTGGTGGCTCCCTGTGGCCACAGTCCCAGAGGCTCATTGGAGGGGCCGGTGAAGAATTCTAGGCACCTCTGCCTTCTGGTATGTCTTTCGGACACACTGACAAACACGGATTAAAAAGGAGAGCAAGACCAGGAATTTATTGCGAAAGAAGAAAATTCACAGGGATGTGATAAATCAAAAACCCAGAAACATCTGCTCCACTTTGGAGGGAGGGGGATGCGGGTCTGGGTAATCCGAGGGTTTGAAAATGATTTTTAGGAGAACACAGCAGGCTTAGAGAACAAGAGGGGCCCAGGACAGATACACAGGGATGACAAAGGTTTGCATTGATCTCTCTGGAATGTTGAATGGGACATGGACAGGGATGTTGACACACTGTGTTCTCTCAGCCTGTCATGAGCCCGGTCGGTGCAAGTCCTGGGGTCTTCTCCGGGGTCCAGACTTTAGACTTACACAAAAGCACCAGAGGGAAGTCAGGCATCCATGGTTTTCTCAGAATTCCTTTCATTTCAACAGCTAACATACCAAGATGGTGTATTTTGGGGGTGACAATTCCTGCGTCCCTTCAGTATCTCATTTCCTCCTCCCAGATGTTTATCAACATGGAATGAAGCTGAGAGGTAGAGGAACTGCAGCTCGTATCACTGTAGGAACCCACTTCTCATTAGTTCCTTGTAGCCAACAGGCCAGGGGTGCAGGGGAGAGGAGGGGGAGGGAGGGAGGAAATGAACGGGTATATGTATATGAGTCTCCAGGCCAGGCGCTACAGTGGGGTCCTGAGAGCCTAGTGATGGGTATGAATAACGTAGCCATCAGGGAGGTGAACAGGTGTATTGTTGACTGGCTGTAGCAGGCGTATTCACCTGTAGTCACTGTGGTAAATGAAGCAGAAGAGATGAGCAAATAGATTGTGGGGGTGTGTGAAGAGGTGGGGGATGGAACAGTACCTCCTCCAGCTTGTGAGTGGGGCTGGAGCTGAAGGGTGACTGCGACAAACTGGAGTAGAGGCAGGGAGTTGAGAATCTCCTACCAAGACAGGAGTGAGGTTGGAAGGATGGGAGGCTAGATCAAGCCAGACCTGGTTGTGCACCCTGCAAAGGGGCTCAGACTTTGTTTAGTTCTCAGAGTGATGGGCGTCTGAGATAGGAAGAGCGGGCATCTCCCTGTGAACAGCTGTAGAGATGGGCTCCCTGGGTTAGGACTCCCTTGCTATAGAGCTGGCTTGGGGAGCTTGAAGGGTGCAGCCTTCTTAATTTAGGGGGCAGTTGGGAATTAGAGGTAGAGAGGAGTGGATGGATGGTTTAGAATCGAAAGTTTCATTGGCTCGAGGAATGGAAAACGAGGCTGCAGGAGCCAACTATGACCAGAGTTCTGCTTTTCTGATTTGTAGCGCTACTTCAGACTCTGCCTGTTGAGGGACGGTTTTCCTCTCCTCTGCCCCAAACTTGGCTGTGCAGGTCTGGCTTCAAATTCCTCTTCTTAACACATTTTGTTTTGTATCATTCCTAACAAGAAAAACTCTTAAAAGGTATCAAACTATTCGGGGAGTGTGTATGCAATTTTAGGGCTTTAATATTATTTGTGTATAGTATTATTTGGACTTTTAAATAATTTATTTCAGCAATCTCAGGCTTTCTTCCAAGAGAGGAATTAAAAACACAAATTTGTCAAATGGAAGGTATCCTTCATCCAAAGGGATACATACATTGGTGACTGTGAGCCTAAAGAGAATTTAGAAATCAAAATTATGCAAAAAAATTGAAAAGATTGGGATTTCAGATGATGAGTTCTGAAAACTGCTGAGTCGCAAGGGCTTCACAGTTGAGTTAGCAGCGAATCCATCACCCACAGTGTCTCTACTCTTGCCGAACAGCTCATGTCTGTGATTCCGTCCGCAGGTCCAGAGCCCAGCACCCCATGTGAGCTGTCACCGATCAACGCCTCTCATCCTGTCCAGGCCTTGATGGAGAGTTTCACCGTTCTGTCTGGCTGCGCCAGCAGAGGCACAACTGGGCTGCCCCAGGAGGTTCACGTCCTAAACCTCCGCATTGCGAACCAGGGAGCAGGGCGGCTGCAGAGGGAGGTGAGTGCGGGTGTTGCCGTCAGAGACAGCTCTGAGAGTGAATTCTATGCCTCTGTCTTGGGCCCTGAGAATCAGAACTCAAGTCATCGGCCTTGTAATGAAAGTACTACGACCTGCTGTGCTGTCTCGTTGGCCCACTTACCTAAGATTTTAAATTGTCTTTTCATCTTTACACATGACCCTCCTTTCTTCTCGTCTAACTGTAGCTTATGAATGCATTGCTCTCGAAAGATGAGTCAGAAAAAACTCTACAACAAAGGCAGTACCCTGAGGGGAGCTCTTATTGTGGTTGAGGTATCTTCTCCAAGATGGCGGTCTTGGTGGTCATGGAGAAGATGGGAAGCAAGCTCATGATTGTTCGGTGTTTGCTCTGGGCTGAGGACTGTTGGAAATGGTGCACTGGCTTGGGGTGCACTGGCTTGGGGTGCACTGGCTTGGGGTCCCTTCACTGTGTGCATTTTACAGGTCAGGCTACAGGTGTGAGGACACAAGTTTCAGGGGCAAATGATCCATTCTTCCCCGTGACTCATCTGTAGCTTAGACCGTGGATCAATGGTCTTCTTGTTGCTTTTAAGAGGATGGGTTTTCCCACACAAACAACGCACAGTTGTCATTTTTAGTTTATGTGTCAGCAATGTTATCAGGCAAGGACTGTCTCCCTAGGGGAAAAGCGTCCACAGTAACTCCCAGTGGTGTGGAGTTTAGGAAGACAGCTGTAAGACGGAATTTTTCTTTCAGTTTTTTTTTCTTGGTCAGGAAAGTGAATTCTACATCTGCTTGTGTATGTACTGCGGGCATCTCCTTGCCTTTTGGGGTCTGTGGGGGTAGCGCAGGCATGGAATTCTACTAGGAAAACAGAACTGACTTAATCTGAGGGAAGTGTGCAGTGTTGGCTCATTTCAAAGTCAGGGCATCTAGCCCTCTCCAGCTCCGCTGGAGATTATTGTGAAGCCTCTTGGTGGCTTGCCATTGTGGCTGCAGCGCATTTTTCAGGTCAGATTTCCTTATCCCAGTAATGTGTCTTTAATTCTCAGCGTATGTGGGAGAGTTTGTGGTGGGAGGGGGGTGGGGGGTCGGAAATACAGCCGCTGTGAGGCCTTGCTGACTCCAGCAATTCCTCGGTGTAGCAATTACTCATTTTATATATGCTTCTCTCGGAGGGAGTGAGGAGGAAAAAGAAAGTCCGGGCTGTTGCAGGAATGTCAACAACCAAAAATTCTTAGTGTTAAATCGTGCGGTACTTCTGCGGACTCTGAAAGTGGATTTGATGAGATTGCCACAGCGAAAGAGAAAAAGACTTCGGGGAGTGACATTCCATTCCAGAGCGTGGCCGTGCAGAGGATGTGTGGCTAGCTAGGGGCCTGGCGAGGCCAGTGAGAGGGCTTGTGCAGGGCAGCCCCAAACCATGTTCCTGCCAAGCCTGTTCAGCCAGTGCATACATGCTCTGTGGCCCGGATGTAAAGGCATTTCTGCCACTAGAGCGCCAAGGGGAGCCTTTAGGGTTAGGTGGCTGTAGCACGTGCCTGCTTGCAGACGTGATGTCGGGACTCTGGATGCTCCAGCCGACTCTGCAGAGCTGTCGTATAGCAGACCTCAGAGCACACACAAGTATTGAGGATGACATGAGGAAGAGGAGGGTTTGTTGATTGCCAAGGTCGGGAGGAGAAGTGTTAAACCCTCTCCAGTTCCTGCCTCTGCTCATAGTTTTGAAATAGGCTACCCAGTCTATGTGTTAGCACTTCTAACTCTCTATAGTAGTTCCAACCCCTGATGTCATTCTTGAACATGAGGAATTATGAGACCAACCCTCTTTGTCCTCAGCTAATTAGGGGTGCAGGATCAGCCCCAGGGCTATGCTAGACCCCCCTTCTCTAACCTTTGACCAAGCCCCACTTCCTGGATGCTGTTACCGAGCTTCATCTGAGGAGAGGTTTCCTATTTCCCTCGGCAGAGGTGACAAGAATGTGTGCCTGGAAGTGGTCACCAGCAGGTTGACAAGATTTGAGGGAAGGTGGGATAAACGGTCACGTGGTCCTGAGGGGAATGGGCTTGCTACAGCCTGTCAGGATGTCCTTTTCCCCAGGCATTGCTCTTCCCCTGGCTCTCTGCTGGCATGAGCCTGGAGACGCTAGATCTAGAATTAGGGTTTCTTCATCTGGGACCTACCACTCGATGTAATCACAGGCTTGGGAAATAGCAGCCTGGAGAGAAGTGAGCAGGAGCCTGGCCAAAGGCTCCGAATACAGAGGAGAGATGAGGCCAAAGGCCCCGAGGTAGTAGATTGTGTTCATTGAATGTGTTATTACTTTCTTTGCTTTGATTAGAAACACTGTTACCGTCATTATCCTTACGTGGGCTGGGCTGAGTGGGTGCTGAGGAGGAACGTTCCTGGAAGCCAGAGGATAGTTGTGGAGTCAGCTTCCGCCTTCATCTTCACCAGGATTCAAACTCAGGTCTTCAAGCGTTTTCGCTCTCTGAGCAGTCTTGCTGTCCACACCTAGGGCCTGTTGAGTGAGCAGTCCCCCTCCTCTCTGTGAAGCCGGAGTCTGGTGCTTTGGGGCACCTCCTGACTGTGAGAAGGCCACACAGCCTCAGAGCCTGGCTGTAGCAGCGTGCTTTCGCTAGATGGTGGAATAGTGACAGTTTGTTTCCTGTCTTTTTGTTTCTTGTGATCTGTTTCCTGGGTTGGTGTGTCTTTTCCCACCTATCTCATTGTTTCTTCCCGGAAAGACTGCTGAGGGCCAGCCTCCTGCACGGCTACATGCGAGGAGACATGGACACTTATTTACATGTGTTCTGGTGTTGAAAGAGACACTGTTCTTTTTGGGGGTGGGGGAGGGATGGGGATTAAACGTCCACCTCCCAGCATGCTGTGATTATACCTGTGTACTACCATGTTCCCTGTATGTGGTGTTGGGATTTGGGCCCAGGGCTTCGTGCATTCTCCCCAGGCACCGTGACTCGGCCCACGAAGGAGTGTCAGTGGGTGAGTGAGCCAGTGCCTGGCTGCAGGGCTGGCGTGAGAATCAGGAGGCTTCACTGCCGTGGGAAAGGGAACAGGTTCAGTAACTCCACCTGCTAGAAAGCCCGTAGCCCCTCATAATTTGATGTATTTGCTTCTCAGCCTCCTTCCAAAAGAGGATTTGGGGGTGAGCTCCCAACAACAGACACATCAGCTTTGTGAGCAGACATGTAAGGTGAGGAGAGAAAAGCTCACTTTGCTGGCCGTGTGGGTTCATTTGTTTGCTATGATGGAGTCTGAAGTGTGGCTCCAGCTCCTCGACGGTTGTGCTGATGGCTGTGTTAATCACACATGTGGCTCTAAGCTGTTCTCTCAGTATCCATCCCTCCGTGTGCAAGCTGTCCCTTCCTGGTCTCTTCCTGGGGGTAGGAAAGACCAGAGTAGGAGAAAGAGAAGGAAGGAAAGACCCAAAATGTGCTACTGTCCTTTTAACCGCTTTCTTATCTCCAGATAATGGTAACAACAGTCTGGTGGTAGGGGCCACAGTGGGCCTCCCCTTGCCAGATGGTCACAGACACTCAGGTAGCCCTGGGCAGCCTGAAAGAGAAGCTTGGCTGTCTGAGTGGAAGGAGACATCTGGGCTTTGAGAGGTTGTGCCACCAGTGGTGAGTGGGCCTGCCGCCTATGAGCAGTCTCTGGTTGTCCTCTGACTCTCTGTCCACTCTGAGATGACAGGTGAGTGGGCCTCCCACCTGTGAGCAGTCTCTGGTCGTCCTCTGGCTCTCTGAGATGGCCTCTCTTGAGCTATTTATCCCAGGCCAAGTGAGCTCTGCCAGTTACTCAGTGGAGGTGGCTGTCCCCGGGAGGGTCAGGTTTGCACACGCTTGTCACGGAGGTTCTTGTTCTCGGGCCATTGTCGTTGCTGTTTTCATTCTTAGGGCTTCACAGTAGTATTGCAATTGAGCTCCACGTGGCAGGGCCTCTTCTTTTGTGTGGTTTAGGATTAGCATAGCAAATGCCAGCAATTATAAAACGCAGGGCTCAACCTCAGGAGCCATCGCTGGGCTTCCATGGAACACCCCTGCCAAGGAACTTTCATCTCATTTTCAGCCAGTCTCCAGAAGCTTTCTGTGGCTGTCATTCAAGTCATTAGACCTGACCCGAGAGCTGGTGCTTCTAATACACCTGCTTTGGCTGTGTGTGTGTGTGGGGGGGGGCAAATGAAGAAGAGACTCCCACCCACGGTGAAGTAAGACCCTCTCTGAGTCCACATCTTTTGGATAGCTCCGTGTAACCGGCCACTGCCTGGATGACTTTTTCCTCCTTGCTCACCTGTCTGTCAGCATCTAGTCTTCCTTTCTGTTTCTGTGATCTTAACACATGAGCAACTTTTGTCTTTTTCTCCCTTACTCTTTAAAAGTCAGCTGGAGCAGTACTTGGAGAGGGAGGAAAGAGTGTGTGTCTTGTCTGGACCCATCTCAAAAAAGAACAGATATGCCACTTAAGGCTAGATGTTTGGAAAACACGACAGAACAGCATGCCACTAAACTAGCTGCATTTATTCCCCAAGGGGAGTGTGTTTGTTCTGTGGTTAATCACGAATGTGTTCTCTGTGTATATGAGTCCTATGTGTATATAAAAGGAAACAAGCCTTCAGCCTCAAGAGGATTTTTGCATTCATGACACCTTATGTGCAACCTACATAGTCGTTGTCACTAAACTAGTGTGGACGTCAACTCCTCTCGTACATAGACACTGACGAAACTTGGTTTCTTTCTTTTAAAAAAAATACTGTATGTGTTTTGTTTCAGCGCTGGGTATCAAACCCGGGGCCTCCTAAACACTAGGCATGTTCTCTAGCTACCTTGGTAACTCAGCTACCTTCCTGCATCCTTTCTTTTTAAAAGAATGACATCAGTTTACTGATGGCTTGATATCGGGGTTATGTGTGGGCTCTCCCGTGTGTGCCATGTTGAGTGTGTGCAGAGGTCAGAGGGCAGCTTGTGGGAGTCAGCTCTCTTCTTCCCCTGTGTGGATT